TAGTTTGGAGAACCGGTAGCAGAAATTTTGAGTAGTTTGGAGAACCGGCAGCAGAAATTTTGAGTAGTTCAGAGAACCGCTAGCAAAAATTTTGAGTAGTTTGGAGAACCGGTAGCAGAAATTTTGAGTAGTTTGGAGAACCGGCAGCAGAAATTTTGAGTAGTTCAGAGAACCGGTAGCAGAAATTTTGAGTAGTTTGGAGAACCGGCAGCAGAAATGTTGAGTAGTTCAGAGAACCGGTAGCAGAAATTTTGAGTAGTTTGGAGAACCGGCAGCAGAAATGTTGAGTAGTTCAGAGAACCGGTAGCAGAAATTTTGAGTAGTTTGGAGAACCGGCAAATGTCACCTCTGGCTGGCCCCAGAGTGGGGTGGGAATGGAGATTTTGCAGTATCCTTCCCTTGCCACGCCCACCAAGCCATGCCCACAAAAATGGTGGTAAATTTTTTTGAATTTCACCACTACCTTAGAGGTCTTCCAGTCCAACCCCCTGTTCAAGTAGGAGACCCTATACCATTTCAGATAAATGGTTGTTTAATCTATTCTTAAAAACATCCAGTGATGGAGCATCCACAATTTTTTTGAGGCAAGTTGTTCCACTGATTAATTGTTCTAACTGTCTGGAAATTTCTCCTTAGTTCTAGGTTTCTTCTCTCCTTGATTAATTCACACCCATTGCTTCTTGTCCTGCTTTCAGGTGCTTTGGGGAACAGGTTGATCTCCCTCTTCTATGTGGCAGCCCCTCAAATATTGGAAGATGCTATCACGTCTCCCCTAGTCCTTCTTTTCATTAAACTAGACATACCCAGTTCCCGCAACCGTTCTTCGTATGTTTTAGCCTCGAGCCCTCTAATCAGAGTGAAATCCAGTTGGTTCTGACAGGCTCTGGAGAACCGGTAGCAGAAATTTTGAGTAGTTCAGAGAACCGGCAAATGTCATCTCTGGCTGGCCCCAGAGTGGGGTGGGAATGGAGATTTTGCAGTATCCTTTCCCTGCCACGCCCACCAAGCCACATTCACCGCACATGCCCACCAAGCTACGCCCACAGAACCGGAAGTTTAAAAAAATTGAATTTCACCACTGCCCCTAATTATCTTTGTTGCTCATCTCCCCACTCTTTCTAGAGTCTCAACATCTTATTTATATTGTGACGACCAAACCTGGGTGCAATATTCCTCATGACGCTTATGACCATTGCAACATTCCCCTGGTCATGTGATCAAAATCCAGACTTATGATTTACGGGCATGGATTTATGACGGTTGTCGTTATGAAGTCATGTGATCACTTTTTGCAACTTCTGACTTTTGCCATGTCAATGGGGAAGAGCCAGAGTCACTTAACAGCCATGTTACTAACCTAACAATGGCAGTGATTCACTTAGCAGCTGTGGCAAGAGACAGGTCGTAAAATGGAATAACACTCACTTCGCTGTCTTGTTAAACAACAGGAATTTATAAGCTCAGTTGTAGTTGTAAGCAGTGGTGGGATTCAAATAATTTAACAACCGGTTCTCTGCCCTAATGATTTCTTACAATATAACCAATTCACCAAACTGCCCAGATAATTAACAACCAATTCTCCCAAAGTGGTACGAACCGGCTGAATCCCACCACTGTTTGTAAGTCAAGGACTGTTTGTATATTGAGAAGTTCTAGGGAGGAGCTACTGCGACCTTCCCCCTACCCCACCCCAACCAAACTATTGCAACTTTGCCCTCTGGAATGCAACCCCTCCCTGCTGGAAATCCAGGCCACATTCCACCACAGATCACAACCAGTTAGCATACGACACCTGATTCTAGCCAAGAAATATTCACAGAGATGCTTCCTGATATACAATACTTACGTGGGACGCAGGAGCCGAATTTGTCAGGGAACTCAGATATCAAATCATCATTTATCCGATCTTTCATTGGGCCAAGGATAATAACCGGCCTGGTGTAATTAACTGAAATGCAGAAAGAAAAGAAGATGGCTGAGATAGCTTGGTAACAAACACTGGCAATGGGTTGATGTTCTCTAAAATGAACCGTGGTGGCGCAGTGGTTGGAACGCAGTATTGCAGGCTAATTCTGCCCGCTGCCTGCAGTTTGATCCTGACTGGCTCAAGGTGGACTCAGCCTTCCGTTCTTCCAAGGTCGGTAAAATGAAGACCCAGATTGTTGGGGGCAAGAGGCTGACTCTGTAAACCGCTTAGAGAGTTCTGTGAAGTGGTATATAAGTCTAGGTGTTATTGGGAGGGAAGGGAGGGAGGGAGGGAGGGAGGGAGGAAGGAGCCGTGGTGATGCAATGGTTAGAATGCAGTATTGCAGGCTAATTCTGCCCACTGCCTGCAGTTCGCTCCTGACCGGCTCAAGGTGGACTCAGCCTTCCATTCTTCCAAGGTCGGTAAAATGAAGACCCAGATTGTTGGGGGCAAGAGTGTAAACCGCTTAGAGAGGACTGTGAAGCGGTATATAAGTCTAGGTGTTATTGGGAAGGAAGGAAGGAAGGAAGGAAGGAAGGAAGGAAGGAAGGAAGGAAGGAAGGAAGGAAGGAGCCGTGGTGATGCAATGGTTAGAATGCAGTATTGCAGGCTAATTCTGCCGACTGCCAGCAGTTTGATCCTGACCAGCTCAAGGTGGACTCAGCCTTCCGAGGTCGGTAAAATGAGGACTCAGATAGTTGGAGGCAGTAGGCTGACCGTGTAAACCACTCAGAGAGTGCTGTAAAGCACTATGGAGCTGTATATAAGTCTATGTGCTATTGCTAAAATGTAATCTTGGAGAGATATCAATTGCATGCAATCATCTTGGATGATGCATTTAGATTCAATAAATGGAACGAAGGCCAGATAATATTTCCTAAAAACAAAACAGGGGCTTCCATGAAGATGCAACTGAACCTGCCTCTTTAAAAGGCTCATTGGAATGCTTCTGCATTAAATTGTTCTCCAGAAGATGTATGTAATGGTCATTATTTTTTCTATTCATCTGGGTTTTTGTTGTTGAAAAACCAATTCTGAATTGTGCAATCTTGAAATCCAGCAAGGTTCTTTTTATAGTATAAGGCAGGGGTCACCAACCTTTCGGACCTCAGGGACCACTAAATTCATAATTTTAAATCCCGCGGGCCACTAATATGATCTGCCTAGTGACCGGCTAGGGGGGGCGTGGCTAGGTGGTCATGTGACTGGATGGGCATGGCCCACTTGGTGTCACTCACATTGACATGCGCCTTGCCAGCCTCTACTCGCCACTCCTCACCTGCCCGCCCGGGCTCCTTAGGGCCCCAACAGGAAGCAGTTCAGTAGTGGGATTCAGCCGGTTCGCACCTATTCGGGAGAACCAGCCTACCCAGCTGGTGATTAGGGCAGAGAACTGGTTGTTAAATTATTTGAATCGCATCACTGAAGCAGTTGTTGGAATTAAGCAGCCACCAGGAGAAAGAGTTGGCAAAACAGCTCAGTTCAAATTGGATCTGACCCAGAAGGAGGCTCAGCAGAAGCACCTCACTGAGGACTAGGAGCATAGGCTTTCCAAGCAGAGGGAAGACCTGTAGGAATACAAGGCCAGGGACCGGCACCTGGAGGCTCAGCAGGCTGAGATGGTCAGCCAGTTCCAGGCCATGATGCAGTCCCACTGGAATGAGGCCCTCTGGCTCTTTGCCACCAGCCGCGCTTCCCTCCAGCCTTC